GCACTAACCTTCTGGGGTTTCACATAAACCATTCGTCAAAATCACAGAAAGATAACTTAAGCTTCAGAACCAACCTGCAGACAGCAATAGATGACTCTTGAATGTCAATAGAACCACATGAAAGTCACAAATAGTTGAAGCCAGAAACAGTTGGAAGATACATAAAGAACAGACTTGGCAGACATACTTTTATGTAGTTCCAATCCTGAATCTAGAGAGATCGCATATTATAGCTGTGATTACAATCAGAATGTGATTTTGTCTATTTTCCCCCATGAATGAACTAATATACCACATGTAGGTTGGATAGAGGGCTTCACGGGAACTATTCAAATACTTCATAAGTGCAGAAAGTGAATACGGAAAGTTACAGAAAGTGCTAGCATAAAGATTTTAAGAGGTTTAATTTGGTAGCTTTGAGCTATAGATACATCCTAATCAACTATTTCATGTCAAAGTAGTTTGATGTTTCACATTGTAATCATAAAGCAAACGCTTGACAGAAATAGGGATGCCTCTTAAATGAAACTAAGGAGGCATAAAACCTAGATAAGATAACAAACGACCACAAAATTTATCACCCTTTGTAGATTCCTCCCAATTGCCAGAACTCACATCCAAAAGAACAACTCATCCAAGCAGAGAAAAATGATTCATATAAGGAAATAGTAGGATCCACGGAACCCAAGCTAAGCAATCTACAAAATACAAACCTAGTAAAGTAATCCCAGTCGGTAGCCAACTTTCACATTCATAAGTACATAGCTTTGTGTGTTCTAATATCAGTTAGTACGAAGATCACCACTGCTGAAAATAGTTGTTTCAAACTTCTAAGGGTAGTGTGTGAACTAACCTAGGAAGAGAGCTCACCGGGTGGTTAGTTTCACTGCCATCATAACCATCACTGTCAAGGTAGCCCTGAGTCAAGCATTGGATGGCCAAAAAAAAATGTCCAGTGCCGAAGAATGCCAATTTGTTGTTCCTTAGTCTCTCAAAGTCCACTCAGCTTCTGAAATCGTGATTGAATGGAGTCTGGCTTTCTCATATTGATGCTAGAATGAGCTAAATTAACTTAGTTCATGCTATTGTAGAGAAACAATGAGATAGCAATGAAGAAAGTGAATGACATTAAAGAAGACTCGATGGCTGCATATGGAATCAAAACGTCAATTAAACATAAAGGCTATCCCCACACATTCGATGGTGTATTTCAGATTTGGAATGCAGAATAACATCAAGTACCTGGGAAATCAGAAGTGAGAAGAAATAAACTGTACCCGAAAGGGCTTAACCCAACCGTAGATGGTTTTGGGAACCACAGCCTGGGAAGAATTTTTTAAGAAGAGTGCCGCAAACAGGAAGACTGGAGACCGCCAAATTGAAAGCCTGCCACACACAATGATTCAATTTAAATGACAGCCGATTTCTTCGAATTTCCGTATTCAACAAAGCCATACCTATAGGATACAGGAGAGGAGGTGAGGACGAAGCAGTGATGGGAAGGTAGGTAGAGGCGGTGAGGAGGAACTGAGGAACACCCACATATCGACATTGGTAGCAGATGAAGGGTGTAGGTGAACCGTAGGAGGAAAGAATCGCTGACTCCGGCACCTCTGTTCGTCGCGGCGGATTGAAGGGGTAACCGCAAGGGTATTAGTGGGCCGTAAGAAGAATCGCCGATTGGCTGCAGGTGATTTGAATAGGGATTTGAAGGAAAGCCGATTCGTACAGATGAAGACACCAATTGAAAGAGAGTGCTGGACACAACAGAGGAATCGAACGCCTTCTCCTTCGCCGGGAAACGCTAGTTCGGAATATCGGAAGAGAACGTCATCTGGCTAGAGACAGCGCGCTGACTGTTTTCGGTGGTGACGACAATGAACGGAGCGAGCGCTGAGCGGAGAACAAAAAAATCACCAGGCCCGTTCAACGTCGCAATATGATCGTGAAGACAAAGAACGGGGAGAGCACTGCTCCGACTGACCACACAAAATAAGGCCAACGGATTCCGTCTGTTAAGACACTGGCCAGAGACAGAGCGCTCACTGTATTCGAAGGTGAAATCAATGAAGGGAGCGAGAGCTGATCGTACCGACGGAACAAAAAACCACCAGGCCCGTTCAATGCAATATGAACCGGGGTATTTTTTCCGTGTCCCAAAATACCCCTCCGACAAACGCTCCGGAGGCAGCAATTTCAAAATGGGGCTTCAGTTTTAGGCTTCAGCGTATTATAATTAGAGTAGATAGATAGATAGATAGATAGATAGATAGATAGAAGAGTAGATAGATAGATGCTACGATTGGCTGTGGCGGAGTGGAAGTTTGATTTGTAGTGGCTCGAGAAGGACGAGAGGTAATGTGGGTATGTGCAGTCAACGAAGGGGCAAATAAAGAAGTACAGATAAATCCATATATATGTAATATTAAAATTTGTATCGAAATACAATAATCCTATCGAGTATCGAAGATAAACTCTACGAAACAACCGAATTCACACGTGAATAAATGATTTTAGGTGCATGAATAAACCATACAAACGATTATGTGAAGCAAATGATTAACATAAAAGAGATTACATAACACAAGATCAATTTGGTACGATTCCTAGTTCAATATGATTTTGCAACAACATTATAGACCTTATTCATTACAAAGTAAAGGGTGGCACTCAAGTCCTTATGAATTTGCTTCAATTACACGGTTATAAAATTAGTGGTACTTATAGGTCGCCCCAACTCAACCCATGAATGAAATCTCATATACTTCTTAAGGAAAAAATAGTTTGAAAAAAAAAACATATTCTATCTTTATATCGACTATATAGAAAATAAGATGTGGTTGATCCTCGTGGCTCATACCCCCTCCATTGCTAAATAGTTAATACCGGTCTGATTACATTTGAGACCAACATATAGAACGTTCCAGGAGGAGTTTATGATCCTTTTCTAAAAATATTCAACTTCTGATAACAAGATCAGCATAATTTATTTATGGCAAATACACTTTCATAGCCATAACTATTCGCGTTGTGACAAATATAGCCACTTTTTGAAAAATACACAGATATAGCCATTTTTTCATACTTGCTTGACAATTTTAGCCATTTCCGTTACAAACTTTAACATCGTCACTAACACCATCAATAACCTCTATGTGTCGCTGAGGTGGATGACACCTGAACGACACGTCGTCGCCAATTGGACGTCTTTATGCCACGTCATACTAATAGTAATTTTTAACAAAAAATAATTAATTTTACCAAAAACCAAAATAATAGATTTTCAATGAGGATTTGATGGTGAAAATGGTGGCAGGTGCCCCCAATTAGGGTTTTTCAGTTTCTGGATCTGAAATTTTTCAAGGAGTAAGTTCAATGGCGATTAGGGTTCTTCAATTTTTCGATCTGGGATTTTCGCCGACAAGATGTGAGAGGAAAGGGGAGGCCAAATCGAGCAAGACAAGGAGAGAAGAGGAGGAATGGGCGTCAGTCCCTGTTGGCCACCGTCGCCGCTTTCTAATTCTCGCGAAAGTTGTCCACAACGACTTTCACGACGGGTTAAATCGATCCAATGGAGAAGTCGGAAGGAACTAAATAAATCGCGGAGCTTCGCGACAGTGGCGGCATCGGAGGAGATTGTTGGAGTTGGCGACCTTGACTCCTTGGCTGCTAGTGACTCCTTGGCCTCCTCCTAGCTCCAAGGAAAACTTCCTTGGCGGCGAGATCTGGATGGTCGACGTCCACGGATCGACGACCTTCTTCAGCCCAGACCACCACCGCCACCGCTCTTCATTCTTAGTCAACAGTTTCTCAACCTCGTCCCTTTTCTCCTCCACAACGGAGCTCAGTAATCTCGTAGGCATTCAAGTTGCTCTGCATAGCAAGCAATTGCGCATCGTACCTACTGTAGGGTTTCACCGGAAGAGACGAGCCCCGCTCCCCGCCGCCATTATTGGAGGAATCATAATCATAATCAGGGGAAGAAGCGTTTGAGAGATCTCTACCGTGGGAGATGATCTGGGCCGTGGATGATGGACGATGGGGAAGAGAATCGGGATGGGTCTGTTGGATTGGGTAGATGGAAAGAAGGGGAAAAGAAGATGATGAAGGACGATTTTCAATTTTTATTTATTTTTACTTTTTTACTTTTTAGTGTAATTATAATAATAATAAGAAAGGAAACTTTCCACCTAGGATTGGTTTAAACAAAAAATTGCCACATCACCAGAAAACGTTAGTACAGTCAGCATTTAAGATTTTGTCGTTAAAGTTTGGGACGGAATGGCTATACGAGTGTATTTTTCAAAAAGTGGCTATATTTGTCACAACGCGAATAGTTATGGCTATGAAAGTGTATTTTGCCTTTATTTATTAATAATCTCAATTCTTAGGTCCCTTTCCTTTCTGCAACGCTAGTGCGCAATGAGTTGGTCCATATCGGACCAAATCGACGCTTGGAGTTGACGACACCGAATCGAATATAATATGGTCCGGTCTTTGGTCCCATGAATTTTATAGATATTGAAGAAAAATGGGCCGAATTGACATTTGGACCGGACCAAAGTGGACCGAATACACTATTGGTCCCATGAATTTTATAGATATTGAAGAAAAATGGGCCGAATTGACATTTGGACCGGACCAAAGTGGACCGAATACACTATTGGTCCGGTCCTTGGTCCTAATATATCTTTCAATATTGGACCGTAGTTCTCCTGAGTTTGGTCCGATTCAGTGGGCATCGGACCGATGCCCACCCCTAACGCTAACATGAACTCCACACTTAACTGTATATATCTAAACGGGCCAATGATAAGATAGCATAGCGATGTCGTTACGGGGTATGTCGTTTCGGGATGTATGAGATTCCGAGTTTGATGCCTCTCGAAGCCCCGTGTGGTGTTCTCGAAAGCGTCTGACTGCTAGTGACGAAACTCTGTTGTCGTATAAATTGAAACATGTGATCTTCCGATTTGGTCACATTCCGCTATCAAAAATATGTGATCTGTGAGTGGAAATATTCATGAAATATAATAATACTAAAAAGTATATCGTAACCGACGTTGCACAGCCAGCCAGTCCACAAATATAATGGCTGCTGCGGACGCAACCGCGCAACACCAACTATATATTTATTCAAACGTCGTTAACCTTTGTATCTATAAGTTCTTGGCGGAAAAGACACAGTTCACAATGTTCAAGCCAAGACAGTATTGCATATCTCAAACACCTCTTTCTTTCCCCTCCATGGAGAGGATCAGAAACCCAGCAGAAACACCAAGCCGGCCAACTCCGGGCACCGTTATTGAGTATTGACTAATACAAACCCTTTTGTCAATGCTACAGAAAAAAAACTTTTTGAGAGAGAGAAAGACATGGTAATGGAGTCTAGAGAAACCTCGAGCATTAAAAATCAGAGACCGTACTGATCAGTAACCATGCACTCCATCATCGCCAAACAACATCAGAGGCAGGTTCAAGGCTCGAACACCATGTTCTCTGCTTCTCGTTTCACGTCTTCGAAGAGCACTGATGAGAGGTAACGCTCGCCAAAACTTGGGAACACCACCTGTTCAAAACAACCACCAATGTTGGTGCTAGTTAGTTTTTAAAACAAGCGGCTCAAATGGAAACCTATGGTAGAGAAATTACAGAATTAATGATCGAGAAGTAGGCCAATAGATGTCAAAGGTCTAGTGGAAATAATTGTACTTACAACTATGAGCTTTCCAGCATTCTCGGGCCTCTTCGCGATCTTGATTGCAGCAGCTGCGGCTGCACCGGATGATATTCCTACCTGCAATACAGGCAATTCAATTGAACACATTTCAGTGACGATGGGAGAAAGTTGGTTATGATAACATAACACGAAAAATTGATTGCAAACTTACCATCAATCCTTCCCTCAAGGCTAGAAGTTTAGCTGTCTCAATAGCTTCTTCACTCGATACCTACAAACACAAAAATTGACAGGTCAGTGTCAATAGCATGAAACAGGAAAGAAGGGATATTGTGGTCAAATATATTCAAGTTAATAACTCGAGTTGTTGGGAGAGAGTCAAGAATGAATCTTGTATCACTTCTTACAATGCCTTGTTAGACAAAAATCAGCTCAGGAATTTGAATTTTATGCAATCTCATCATGCACACCATTAATATTGTTGATTGAACACAAAATCTTTGGTCATCAAAGACTTTGTTACCATGTCAAAGAAACAAACATAGTTCAAACTGCGAAAGGTCCAAGATCAAATGCTATATCATATATGTAAGAATCAAGGTTTGAAACCTCACTTGAACAACTTCATCAAGCAAATTGACATCGAGGACTCCCGGGATGAAGCCTGCACCAATGCCCTGGATTTTATGTGGACCTTAGGAGTCCAAAAGCAAAAAAGTTGAGCAAGTTAGCAAAGAACAGGGAAAAAATATCAGACGAGAGTCACAAGCCAATGCAATATTCGGCATTATTAGTTTCACAGGGTTGGCTCCTTTATACTTACTGTTAAAATAGGGCGTGTAGTATAATTTCATATTCCTAGAATAAAAACGGAAGAGACATAGAGATCAAGTGATGCGTATATTCCACACATGCGGCCGCGACGGTCAAACCGCAGGTCTAAGCCAGACCCATGGTTTACCGATGGGCTAAGCTAATCTCATTTTCATTGTTCAATTATGCTTATGTTTCATTGTTCAAGTTGTTTTCCTCGTTCGATATGGACGGTTGCAAGAACTTTATCAATTGTTGATTATCAGTTGGGAGAAAAGTGTGAAGAATTAAAACCCTAAATTAGTTGATTTTCTTTTGTAGATTTCGCAATTCCCCCAATGCAACACAAGACTCACCAGGCTTTCCTCCAGACAACACTGCACTTTCAACTGGTTCTACACCATAGAGCTGAAACAATGTTGAAAACAAACATTAATAAGTCTAAAAACTAATAACAATAGAATTATAATCTCATTCTTGTCCGGATGATAGCAAGAACCGGTACCTTTATATTAGGGTTTTGCTCCTTAAGATACTTCCCTACACCGGTTACTGTTCCTCCAGTTCCTATCCCAGACACAAAGGCGTCAACTTTGCCAGCAGAGCCTTTCCAGATTTCTGGTCCTGTGGTCTCATAGTGAACCTGGACATGAAAACAAGTGATTGTCATTGTGCAAATTCGCTGGCTTAGGCAAGCCAAGAAGAACTGAGAAGCAAAAGTCTGACGAACATATTACCTTTGGGTTGGCAGGATTCTCAAATTGCTGCAGAATATAAGAATTAGGTGTCTTTGCCAAGATCTCTTCTGCCTTCTGAACAGCACCTTTCATGCCTCTTGCCGGATCTGTAAGAACAAGCTCTGCTCCAAAAGCTCTGAGAACCATTCTTCTCTCCAAACTCATCGAAGCAGGCATTGTGATTATAAGTCTATAGCCCTTGGCTGCTGCCATGAATGCCAGCCCTATCCCGGTGTTTCCACTTGTTGGCTCAATAAGGACACTCTTCAACAGATAAGTACAAAAAGAAATTCATGTCAGAATTAGATTCCCCCCTCACACAAATATAACATTGCACATACTTTATTTCATGCATTCACAAGGAACAGTTCGGATCAAATATTCTTCCAGCATACTATACCAAATGAGCCAAGAGAAAGAATTGAATTGCTAACCTCGCCAGGCTTGATAAGACCCTTCTCCTCCGCATCAGCTATCATACTATATCCAATCCTACACCAAAAAAAAAAACAAGTTTTAAGGATATTAACAATTTCAACTAAACAACAAGAGCAGTTAGAAAATCCCTTGCTTCTTTCATGAAGTAGAAGGAAGAAACCAAACATCAAATCTGAGAAGTCAATATGAACAAGCTATAAAGCAAATCAGAAGTCAATTCTTTGGACAGAATATCCAGCATTTGATATACTAATTCACAAGCAACTAACAATGATAGTCATGATCAGAACATATACCTATCCTTGACGCTTGAGCAGGGTTCCATCATCTCTAACTTGGCAGCAACACGAGCAACGCAGCCATCCACAACATTGGTGAGATATACCATTGGTGTTTTACCAATCAACTGTTCAATTTCAAAGGAGGGAGAAGGATCAGCAATGCATTCACATCTTGACAATATAATGCCTAATTGGAATGTGAATGGAAACAAGGTATATAGCTAGCTAACCTCAGTGACATCCTTGGCAATTCCAATCTTATCCTCTGCCATCCCTGATGAAATATTGCTGCACAAACTGTAAGAACAAAACAGGCCGCTAGAAGTATCAGATATCACATTAAACAAACCACAAGTCAAAGACCATGCCGAACAATCGAAGCTACAGATATGAAGGTTGTCCACCTAAATACTCCAAGTCAAACGCACTAAAAATCAAGCCGAAAGAAAGAAAATTGAAGGGGGGAAAAAACAAATTCGACAGAACCCATTACAGATGACTGACAATACCATCCCAAAGATCCAACATCGGCGCCGACGAACAAGTATAACAAACTAAACCCAGAAAATCAGCGGGAACAGAGCACAGAGATGAACGAGAAGTTGGTAAACGGAAAAGGTCTGAGCTTTGGGAACAGAAACTCACCTTAGAAGAGTGTGCTAATCTTAGAATTCAACAACCAAGACGAAGGAAACGAACAGATCAGAGGGATGAAAGATTTGGCAGCAGAACAGAGCCGGACTCGGATAGTCTTATGCTGTTCGGCGCTGGTCTTGTGTGGGTTACTGTTATATTTTTTGGTAGAGATTTTCCCCTTCTTTTAATTCATCATAAAGAAAAAGGAAAGGCCATTTGTGCAGGAAGATGTATCCAAACGAATCTTTTCTTCTGGCGTAGAAAATAACGTATTGGACTTAAAATATTGACCAAATGCATTTTATCTTCTTGACAAACAAGAAAAGTTATGTTTGGAATTGTCGATTATATCTTGTTTGTGAATTGTGATTGAGGTTTTGCTGTTCTCTTTTTATGGAAAGGTCATTGTTAGTAATACAAGATGTGCTTGTCGCGCTTCGCCGTGAGCTTTCAAAAGATTAGGGTTATTTCTTTTAATTTTTTTTTTCGTTGAATATTTTTCTTAATTATTGAAGCCTGCAATAAGCCCATGTTTTTAAAAAATGCTTTTCTGAACTCGTATATTTGGCACTTGAAGTTGCAATATTTTGATTTCATTGAAGTTCTCTAGAGTTCAAATCCTAATCATAACAATATTTTTCTCATCTTTTTTTTCCCTTCCAAATCTCTAGCCGAAATCTCACGAATGCAACTCTTCCCACTTCTTCGAGCCGCCATAGAATCTAAACTCCTCCTTCTCCTTCACACACCTCTCAGTCGAAATCGAAACCCTCTCTTTCCCTCCTCCTTTGAAATCCATTCAAAGATTACACAAAAGAGTAGCAGTCGTCCCGTGCTTCTCCCTACCACTGCGTGTTCTCAGTCCGAGGTTGCTGCAGTCGTTCGTGCCGTGACGACTCGGCCACGGGTAGTCGCGTCGATTCTCGTTGGGTCACTTTCATGCTTCCCCCACTCTCAACGCGTACATAAAGGTAATCAAATTTTTAGTAGCAACTACAGCCTAACTTAGAGGAGAATTGGAATATTATGTAACAACTTGGATACAACTGGCAAGTTACGTGTAAAGTCGACCAATGTATAAGTAGGAAGAGTTCATTGTGGTTGGTTATCTTTTTGCCAAACTGTCAACTGTTAGCTACTTTACCAATTCTTTAGCTAGTTATAAATAAAACAGAGCTCCTCCTTCGTCGCTATCTTCTTTTCCCCATTTCTCTCTTCTTCTCGCCAGATTCGCCATTGACGATCCTTACAAGTGGTATCAGCAACCTGAAATCTGGCAAATGGCGGCGAACACCTCCCGCATCGTCGAATTGGAGTCGCAGATGGTCGTTTTGCAGTTGAAGCTGGATTCGCAACACCAAGATCTGAAGGAAGCCATTTTTGCTCTCGCTTATTCGACAAAGGAGAATATCGATGCGCTCACTGCCTCTTTGACGCACTTCCGCAAGAAATCGTCGGTCCGAGCTCCGAGCAAGCCAATAAAGATCAATTCTTTGACCACCAACAATTCTGCCATCAATAGTGTCGTCCATCGCTTTTGGATCACTACCCTCGCCTGGAGTTCTCCTATTTCTCTGGCACCGATCCTCATGCTTGGGTAAGCAAGTGCAACAAACTTTTCTAGCTTTACTCGATTCCGGAAGAACAAAAGGTCGAGATGGTCTCTTATTATCTAGAAGGCCGAGCTCATACATGTTTTGACAGCTGGTCCTTCCGTCACTTTCCCTTGATTTGGGGTCAATTCGTGGATGAATTGTTTCGCCGGTTTGATGATCAAGAGAAGTTGAACGTGGTTGCAGCTTTCAATCAGTTACGGGCTTACGGCAGATCAGTTCTGTTTCTCGCTATCAGGAGGAATTCGAGGAGCTTCGCTCTCGAATGCTTCGATTGAACCCCAAGTTTAATGAGTACTACTTCATTCTTAGTTTCTTGGGCGACCTCGATGATGAGATTCAGCCGCATGTGCAAGCGCTGCATCCTCCCACATTAGCTTATGCCTTCTATCAAGCTCGCTTGGAGGAGTCGGCAATTGAAGCCTGCAAGAAGAAGACTCGCTCTCTCTCTCTCTCTCTCTTTCCAAGAAGAAGTAGCTTCAGATGATGCAAGCAGAAGCTCCTTCACCATCCAGTGAAAAGGATGATCAGGAGGACGATTTCCATGATGTCGAATTGGAAGTTACTTTGCAGGCTATGGGATCAGGCTTTAATGGGAACTCGTTGCTCATACCCGCCACAGCAGGGAAGCATGAGGTTACCGTCCTCATTGATACAGGTAGCTCTCATACTTTCTTAAACACCATTAGGGTTGAAGAACTGAATTGTAGAACTAAGAATATCGCTCAAATGAGGGTTAAGGTTGCTAGTGGTCACACTCTACTGAGCAATTCAGTCTGTCGGGGATTCAGTTGGAAAATGCAAGGGAAGGAATTTGGTTTTGAAGTTCGCACCCTCGACCTCCCTTCTCATGATTTGGTACTGGGATGAGATTGGTTGGAGACTATTAGTCCATTTCAGGTGGATTTGAAGAAAAGAAAGTTAGCCTTTGAATGGAAGGGCATAACTCTTACTCTGTAGGGGCTTATCAAGGAAGGACAATGCAAGATGAGGACCAACAGAGACTTCCAACAACTCTTAAAGAAGCCTTTGACCCATTCCTCCTTCCTCTCCTACACCTACCTTATTGCAGCCCCTTCTATCACAGTATTCGGATGTGTTTGCTACTCCCACATCCCTTCCACCTTCGCGAGCCTTTGATCACTCAATTTCCCTTCTTCCTAATACCAAACCCATCAATATTCTCCCTTACCGGTTTCCTCATCACCAAAAGGCTGCGACGGATAAGTTGGTAGTTGAGGTGCTTAAATCCGAATTCATTCAGGAGAGCCACAACCCTTATGCCTCGCATGTTTTGTTGGTTGGTAAAAAGATGGTACCTAGAGATTCTATGTGGACTACAGGGCACTCAATTCAGTCAATATCAAGGATAAGTTTCCTATCCCTCACATTGAAGATTTATGGGACGAATTACATGGGGCAGTTTTATTCTCTAAGCTGGATCTCAGGGCAGGATACCATCAAATTTGCATGCACCCGGCAGATCAGTTCAAGACGGCTTTTCGAACTCATCAAGGCCACTACGAGGTTCGGGTGATGCCCTTTGGGCTAACAAATGCTCCTGCCACTTTCCAGGCGCTGATGAATCATGTTTTTGGACCATATTTGTGGCGGTTCATTCTTGTGTTCTTCGATGATATTTTAGTATACAGCAAGTCTGAGGCAGACCATTTGCAGCACCTCAACATTGCTCTATAGTTGCTCAGGGATCATCAATTGTTTGCTAAAGCATCGAAATGTTCCTTTGGCCAGCCTACTGTTGAGTATTTGGGTCACATAATCAGTCGGGATGGAGTTTCTATGGATCAAAGTAAAGTGGCAGCAATGCAGTCTTGCTCGGGTCCTACCTCAGTTAAAGGGTTGCGAGGTTTTTTGGGTCTTACGGGTTACTACAGAAAGTTCATAAAGAATTATGGTATAATCAGTCGTCCACTTACTGAGTTGTTGAAGAAAAACGGGTTTCACTGGTCACCTGTTGTCGAGGAAGCATTTGTTACTCTCAAATCAACTATGAGCCAAGCTCCAGTCATTGGTCTCCTTGATTTCAAGCAAGCTTTCACTCTAGAGACTGATGCTTGTGGTTCTGGTGTGGGTGTTGTTCTGTCTCAAGGAGGCAGGCCCTTAGCTTTTTTTAGCAAAGCTCTCAGTCTTCGAAATCAAGGATTAAGCACCTACGAGAAGGAGTACCTAGCCGTTCTGCTGGTGGTGGACCATTGGAGACACTATTTGGAAGTGCGCCAGTTTACTATTGTTACGGATCATGAGAGTTTGAAGTTCCTCTTAGGCCAAAAAGTTCACACTGCAATTCAAAAGAAGGGCCTAGTCAAGCTCATGGGTCTGGATTTCTAGATTAAATATAGGAAAGGACGCTATAATGGCGCGACATATGCTCTTTCTCGTGTTTTTTAGGACAATATTGAAAGCAGTACTTGTAATGCCCTGTCCTCTGTGCTTTCTGAGTGGTTGATTGAGATATAGCAGTCTTATGAAGGTGATGAAGAAGTGGCCGCTTGGATTGCAGAAGCTGCTGTAAATGTTTCTGGCCCTTCCTTGTGGTCTTTCTCAGCGGGTATACTTCGCTACCGAGGTGCAATTGTGGTGGGATCAACAGGTTTTCTGCGCACCAAGTTACTCCAACTCTTTCATTCTTCACCAGTGGGGGGCCATTCAGGGGAACAAAGTACTTACCAATGTCTCAAGTCCTATTTCTACTGAAGAGGGATGAAGTATGCAGTTACTCAGTGGGTTTCTAAATGCGATGTGTGCCAGTGTTGTAAGACAGAGACATTAGCCTCGCCCGGACTTCTCCAACCTCTTCCTATACCTACCCGAGCTTGGCGAGACATCAGTATGGATTTTTTGGAGGGTTTACCTATTTCTAAAGGGAAGCATGTTCTGTTTGTGGTGGTAGACAGGTTTACAAAGTCAACCTTATTCTTTGCACTTACACAGCCTTACACAGCAGCTTTGGTAGCCCAGGTTTTCTTTGATGGGGTGTTCAAATACCATGGTATGCCTTCTACGATCGTTTGCGACAGAGACTCCACTTTCACAAGCGGTTTTTGGACTGAGTTCTTTGACTCGCACGAAACTACACCACAAATTAATCGCGACTAGAGCCCAAGTTTTTAAACTCTAGCCGGGTGCAGTATAGTGCAAGTATTTAAATTGTCAACCCGGGCCGATCCATGTACCCCTACTTCAATCGCTTAGGTTGTTATCTAGCAAGAAACTTTAGGGTTTAGGTATATTGGAACTACAAACTAACCAAGCAAAGAAAAGTAAATAAAGGAAAACTCTAACTAAGGGAGCTTCACCCAGGAGTTGCTTACCCCTAACTAGCTACCATGACTCGTTGGATTGAATGAAGTCGTGAGGCGTATATGGTTGTTAACCTCGGGGGTGAGCAACTAGTTATCAATCTGTCACGACATGACTTCACTAGCGATCGATTTGTCACGAGATCGATCCACTCACCAAGTCTAGGGGAACCGCTAGGAGGAGCAACTAGCGATCCATTTTTCACGGGATGGATTCGCTAGGGATCGATTTGTCACGGGATCGATCCTCTCACTCAGGCTCTAGTGGTTGCCTAGGTCTCTCCCTCAAACCGGAGTTTGAGCGGCTTAACACAGCCAACCTAGATGCAAACTGGTAACCGCGTACCGCAGAGGGATGCATATGTGGTCGGAGACCACAATCTCAATTTCTAAACCGAGGTAAGCATG